TGCATTGTGGCCTATCCCCAGCTATCCACGAGGCTTTTAGCTTCACCTTGAAAGTCTCTTGTACTAGATAGTGGTCTGAACTCACATCTGCTCCTCTCCTCGACCTGGTGTCCAGTAGGCTCCGTCTCCACTTCCTTGAGATTGAAATGAAATCTACCTGATTTTTGGTGTGTCCATCTGGTGAAATCCTTGTCGCCTTGTGTATATCCCTGTGTTTGAACACTGCCACCAATCACCAAATCATTGAAGGCGCAGAAGTCTGAGAAGAGTTCACCATTGTCGTTCATTTCACCGAGGGCCTCACGACCCATGGTGAGTTCTCTTCCTGTATTGTCTCCTCCCAGTTTCGCATTCATATCACCCATCAGGATTTTGATATCGCTCTTTGGGATGTTGTCCATTACTGTTTGTAGTTGACTGTAGAAATCCTCCTTCTTCTCATGTTCTGAGACGTTTGTAGGCGCGTAGCGTTGAATGATTGTAACCTTTTCTTCGTTTTGAGTTGAACCTGGCTGTCATTATCCTGGAGGAGATTGGTTCCCACTACATGAGAGCCTTAGCCGTTGTTGGTGACATCATGATGGCTACTCCCCCGGTGTGCTCGTGATCGTCCTCTGGGTGGCTGGAGTAGATTATTGTCTCTCCAGTTGGCACCTTCCGCATCCGTTCCATCTGCTCTCGCGGATTCCCAACACTTCTATTTTATATCTCCTCATTTCTGAGGCTACCTGGGCAGCCTTTCCAGTTTCGTACACTGTACGAATATTCCACGTCCCCATCCTTATTTTTGCTTTCATCGAAATGAGGCACATCGGCTGACTGACTTCGCGAAGGCTTTCACCAGCCTGCGTCATTTCACTTCCCCGATTCCAGCGAAATATAAGGTTATTGTTTGTATTTTTAGTATGCGTTGAAGTTTCTCTGGCATTTTGGTTAAGTTTTGGGGGTGGAGTTGCTAGCACCACGCCCCAACCCTCCCTCTTTATCCGGGCTTGGGACCGGCTAGAAAACTAGCGACCTAGTAATCTAGGCGAGGTTGTTGATTTGATTGCGAACAATAAATTGTATTCCAAATGTCAACCTAAATATAATACTGTTTCACTATGTGATATATTCTATAATAAAATAATATGGAATCACATAATACCACAGTGCCCAGGTTGTACGCATATATTAACTTTTATAATAGCATTATATATTGTCGTTGAGGTTATGATAAGCATTTACCGAATGAAATCACCTAACTTCAGAAGCGTCTATATGTACACCTTTCTAGGTGCGAACCGTATGAAATTCTGCTATTGAAAGTGTGTGTGTTCATCAGATCTCAGCTGGGTTTCATTCATGCTTCAAAAGTTTCGAATTTTCGCATACATAAAAAACTACATGGATTTCGGCGGATGCAACCCTTTTTCTGTTATTTAGTGAATCATGTTGAATAGTTTAAAGTTTCCCTGCGTCCGTATTGATTTTCACTCATTGTAAGACTGTGTGATATACGTGGGAAAGAAAGACATGAACTACAAAAATCGAGCTTCTAAGTTGTGTAGTAATGACTAATATGATTATGAACCATAAATTGTGTTCAGAATGCCACCCAGTAAAGAATACTGTTCCACTGTGTGATATATGGGGTATCTGAATTAAAGTGAAATTTTCAGATCTGTGAATAGCAAATCAGAAGTATATATATATATATATATATATATATACGCCACACTAGTTACCTATCGTAGCTTAAATTTTGGCTCATTTAAGTAAAGAAGATAATTTGACTATATTATTTACATGCAGTATTTTATAGGAATTCCTTTTTAAATGGCAGTGGTAATATCACTGAGATATCTGAAAACTGCAGGAAGTATCTACCAGAATGACACTCATCATACGACTAATCCTTTACAAACTTGTAATATGGAATAAAGACGATCATTTAGAAAATCCTACTAGACACAAGAATAGCTTTGCAACCTACGTTAAGTTCATATTTGATGGCTTAATTAAAGAGGAAAAATACCAAGCCTACATTTTGCAACTGTGTTACTTTTTATGCAAAATTTGTACCATAGTATAACTCGTATTGCAATCTGTATACCTATGCAAGGTTTCAAATGTGAACAGACAAGTGCTCAGATGGCCTCAAAAGTCAGTAGTCTTCTTGATGCTAAATGATGACTTTAACTTTCCATGAGTTAATTACTTCTTGAAATTATTTTAGATATTGAATACCTCCCTACATATCTCACACTTTTTTTACTAATCAGAATGTTAATTGCATTAATACTAATTGTATTCGCTTCATGTTAAATTAGCTAGCAGTGGATAGATAGTACGAGTAAGTGTTTTTCCCCACTGTCTAAGACAATATTTTGGGACTAATTCCAACTAATAAAGTGTTTTATCATAGTTAGAAAATTTTCTACTGAATAAAGATCTCTCGATTTTTGTTCCCTATATGCAAATTATGATCGGTATATTAGAAATCAGGCCAAAAATGACAACTTTGATCTAATGCATATTTGTCTGATTTGGTAAATTTTTCTTCATATCAAAATTTTCGACTTTCCCTTGATAAATAATAGTCCTTTTTATCTACTCCATTAAGAAATATACATCAGTAGTGTTTGTAAACTGAATAAATTCCTTCCTTTTTTGCTGGATACCTTCAACATATTCTGAGATGGTGAATTTTGCCTGCTAATTGATATTCGTGTAAACCAAGAGGCGGTTACTTCCTCTATTGTGTTGCCATTTTGCAGATTTTGCATTTTACTTCGTAAATTTTCCTAAACAGAAGGAACATTATCTGCAAAATAGGTTTTTCACGAAAACCTATGGTGTATTTATTAAGTTCTTAAGATTACATCTTTTTGAAATGCTAGACTAAGTTTTGTAACTAGGTGACTTTGCTTTTTATTCAGTCCCTTTAGAACTTAGATGACCCTTTAAGAATCTTACATTTTTCAATATCCATACAATTTAATTTGAGATTATTGGCATCAGTGTGTTTCAGTCATTTTGCTAATCAAGTGTTGCCAATATCCAACCAATTTTTCAAGAAAATTTGTTCCAGAAATGTTATTTATGCTGTTACGAATTTTAGAAGTATTTTCTTTACATAACACTACCCAATCGATTTCCGCATTGAATTTTATTTTAGAATTATTAGTTCCTTGAAATTTGAAAGGGGCCCAGCTCCTAACATTCCCTCTTTACCGAACTTCCTACGGGCTAAGCGAGGTTTAGGAGAGCGTTGTCTGAAAATCTAACGTAGGACCAAGTGTATGGTTGGTGAGAAATCTATCACTCAACCATAAATACAAAAAAGTGCTTGCCTAGGGTGCGATTCGGACTCATGCCCACATTGTGGGCCAGAACGCTCAAAAGACTACTTTTGTGTCTGGCGCCTGAGTGCGTTTGGTTATCACGACCTTCATTTATTTCCACTTTCATCCCGCTATTTTTTACGCTAAAGACAACTTCGTAGTAGACATTTAAATCGTAAATCATCATAATACCATGAAATTACGACAATGAACTTTTCTTGTTTATTAGACAGATAGTTTCAAGTTATTAATGTATGCTTTCTATGCTCGAATTTATGTTAGACCGATTAAATTCCAGGATAGAATAAATGCAAAATGAATTCATTCACTTTTACTCACGTCATCTATTACTAATACTGTTTCATAATGTTTGAATAGACTATTAAAATGCAGTTTACTTTGCAAATAAAATTTACACATTTCAGTTGCAATATATTCCAGTGCATGTTTATGCGTTTCGCAGTAAGTCAAATCTGTAATTCAGTGGTTGAATATATGCACTCCAGATCAATCAAATACAACTCTTAAAGTCTTTTGAAGTTTTATGTATATTTTATATTAATTTACGATATTGAATTCGATTATATTGCTATATTTGAGTACCAAATAACATTAGCCTTTTTAATTTGTAATAAATCAATATAGATACTGGTTGTTTGGAACTTTGCAGAAAATATCACTACATTCTATTCAAGATATTCTTATCCATTAAATCTGTACACAGTTTTTCAAAATCTTTATGCCTCTTTAACTTTATAATGTATCTGTGAAAACTGCATTTAATTGAGTGCATTGAGTTTAATTAATTTTGCAGATTAAATTAAATATTTGCTTACGGATAGTAGTACGTTGGAACTCTTGTAGTTTTACAGTTGGAACTCGTCAACACAGTATAACTGCTACCTTGATGACAATCTGTTTTCTCACAGGATTTAAATGCAGAAATACCAGTCGGTGTGATTGCAACAAGTGGAAGTGTAGCCAATGGGTCCTGAGCTCGAATCCTGCTTCAGCCTGGGTAACTGTGCGATATCTTTAGGCATCACATAATGAGTGTAGAACACAGCATGGTACACGAGAAACGTGTTCTGGATAAATTACCTATTTTACTAGACTAAAACATCAAGGTTTATGAGTTCTAGTCACAAGTCCCCTAAAGGTTGCAGACCGCTTTTGCTAGATCATGCAAACAAAAAGAAAATTCATGTTCAAGTTATTTCTTCTCTGTCACTTCTTCCGGAAACGTGTCGTTTCAGTTACTTTATGAGTGACTGTTCAATATCACCACTGTCTGTCCAAATTGTTGACATATTAGGTGTAATAGCACACATTATTAAATGAATGTCTAGCTAGTGTATTAACTGCCCAGTGAAATTGCTGCAGTCATAACAATAATATGTGGAAGGGTGAAAACTAATTTGCACACCATAATATTATTTTAAGTAGCTCTAAAACCCTTCAAACAAAACTAAGTCACCAATTTGTGTTAGTACTAATTACTCGATATTTTGCTTATTAATGCCAGTACGTCTTTTCCAATGAGCATCTTCCGTCGGTCGTCATAAAATATGAAACCTAATTAAATTTTCATCGTTTACATTATCTCTCCAAGTTTCATAGAAATAACTATTTATGACTTTTTTCATATTTTTGTATTTTTATAAAAATCTTTAGAAAATGATAATCATCGGTATTTGTGTAGCCATCCTTATTTGTATTATTGTCGGTACAATTGTTGGAATGGTGCCGGGAATGTAGAACACATTGATGAAGGAAAATATTTACGGTTATTAGAACATAAATTACTATTATCATCATAATTCTCTCTATATATATTCAGTGAATAAATTACTATTCAACATACATTTGGGTCAGATAACAAATGAGTCAATTGTTTCGACATACTTATGTGCTGATTTTTACGAGTATATATTCAAGTGTGTATATTATTCGAAATCATTCGAATACATACTTCCATTTCCTCTTCTACTTCTCAACACAGGTGTGTGTGTAGAATATTACACATTAAATATGTGTTGAACTGAATGATATCATTTCATATAATTCTGTCCACTCTTTACTCCGTTGACAGTATCAAATTAGTACAGGTACCTGTGAAGACGTAATGCATATGCTGTTCAAACCACCCATTTTCTTTACAGTTCTTTTTCATCTTATCATAACACAACCATCATTTTTACAGTCAACTTGTGTCACTTCCAAGTCAAGTGATGATCAATTACTTCATCGAGCTTTCTTTTTCTTTACTCTTTCACGTTTGTTGAATTCGAATAGACGAAAAGATTTCTTTTTTGTGTATATTTCATTGTTAGTATTTACGTTATAGCATTTTCTTTACTGTTACATTTCTATTATTGAATTGCATGTCCCACATGCACAGTGGTTAGGCCAACATTCGTTTCTCACACATACAGCATTTCTAGGCTTTAATTCAATAAATACGAGTGCACATACACTAACAGAAATGTATCACAATACATGCTCTTGTGTGGGCATCGAATAATTGTGTTTCACCGCTAAATGAAATGGCTGTCAGAGGAATGAAAGAATGCCAAATTATATTTAATGCAAAATGTTAAATATTTTTCAAATTGCTCATTTATTCACAAACAAACTCTTCCTTCTTTCTATCTTGTATTTATCTTTCTGTCCTAGTCACTGTTATTATTATTACTATTATTAGCATCAGTTCGCTTGGTCAGTTAATATCTTTTTCCTCATTTTATTATATACTCTGGTTGTGTTCCGTTGCCTGTCTGTATGTACGTATTCACTGTCTCATCTAATCATGGTAGTTATTCATGTATTTAATTGTTGTGTGGGTATGTATCTGTGATTGTACACTTATTTGCAGGTCTGCGAAATTGTTTGCTGTTATATATATATATATATATATGTTTGTTCTGGATACAAATCTACTATCAACTCTTGTGTATATGCACACCGAAAATCGTATATGAAAACAACTGGGGAAATTTCTAACGCAAAAACAAATAAATAAACCAACATGAAGAATCTATTCAAAGGAAAACAAATACAATTACTCATCTGCATTTACTTTTTCCTCGTCATTTTGTTTGTTTTCCTCTTTCCACTCTGACAATTCTTTTAAATCTTCGGTTACTATGTAAACTATCATATTTATTTACACACACTCATTTAATCGTATTTTTAATTTTTTGCTTATTTCTTCTAGCTAGGTTATTATTTACGATTGTCCTATTGCTCAGTGACTTCTAATTTTCTTCACTTTCTCATCGCGGCTTCTCTACACATTATTTTGTTTGCAGTCCAAAAAGCGTGAACTAATTCATTTCAGATATGCATATTAACCGTTTCAAATAAATATTTCTTTACACTTTTTTCTCTCATTTTAATAGCATTAACACGAGTATATACACACATCTTCAGACATTTACTTAACACCAAAATCACACATTAGCTATATTTTCCTTCTGTTGTTATTCTTCTTCAACTATTACACACTTAGCAATACACGTTCAATGGAGAATGTCGCAAGCATTGTTATATATATATATATATATATATATATATATATATATATATATATATACTCCTTATGCATACATATTATCTTCTGTAATTTTTTTCCAATTTCCTCCACCGACACTTCTTCTTCGAATAATCATGAAACTAGGCAAGTTATCGCTTTTCTTAATTCGAAATTAATCTTAAGGGTATTTTTCTTCTTCTTTTGTTTACAAATAATTGATAAGGCGACAAATGACTGGGTATTTATTCAACTGTATCAATTTATGAATATTTATGTATAAACATTCATATTACGCATTCCTCTGATGTCAGTTTCTCTGCTTCCCTATGCATTTTCACTTTCCTCTTTTTCCTTTTCTCTCGTGATCTAATTATTCAACCAATAAGTTTATGTATTCACTGGCTAATTTCTTTTTTCTTTATTTGAAGTTTTGTAAATTAATACTATTATTATTACCGATTATTACTCTTGATATTGTTGTTATTAACATTACTAATAATAACACTACCGATAACATTCAGAAGTAACACACAAGGATTGCTTTTATTCTTTCGCGATTCGGCTTTGAATTTAATCTATCGTTACCTCATCTACGTAACAAAATATCACGGAATTGTTTAAATGCTATACTTGTATTTTTATGAAGGTATATTTCTTGATGTGATCATTCTTAATGTGGTTGTGAAAGAGAAAGACAACGGAGCTAAACTAGGTTTGGTATTGGTTACAACAGCTGAGAACATTACAAGATTCTATGAGTTTAGCTCACTCAATAATTGTATTACTTTGAATATTCAAGGAACAACATAATAAGATAGGTTTCTGTTCAAACGAAAAGGAATTACTCCCGTGAATTTTGTAAAGTATTTTCAAATAATGAGACACACGTCGAATATTAGATCTATTGATGCAGTAAATAATACTGCATCAATGTGTCTTTCATCGAATAAAATTAATCTACGGTGATATGCACCTACTTCCTGACGAGTATTTGTTTATCATTTCTCCAGTCTGCAACTGTTTATACAGCACAACAGTACCTACCGAATCTTGCAGTATTTGATTATCTAAATGGGGCATTTAACTCCAATAATGGTAACATGTTGTGAAGACAGTGAATCACGTTAGTCAGCAGTCAGTATTCGAACTTACGCAGCTTATTCAAACTTGTTACCTGATATCAAGCCAAAAACTTCTTAAGTCATAGCTTGATTTCATACTAGATGCAACTCTTTAATACAAGCGTCTCATGAGTGAACTTATTACACTGGAAATATTCGACAGAATTACAACCCAAAGAGTAGCTGACCTTCACATACTATTCTAGAAAGACTGAAAAAACCCGGATTATGTTCAGCATACGCTTCCCTTCTATCACATTTAAAATCATGCTAAGCGTATGGTCACACTAACTTTTAGTTCAAGATTAGGAAATACAACTGTCGGAAGCGTTGATCACTTCACATATTTGGGAAGCCACGGGGCAGTTACAAAAGACTCATGGCACTTTTCAACTCGTATTTTGTTTGATACTGACTGGCTGTCAAACATCGAGTGTACAGCTAGATATGGATTTCAGATAGTTTGAACTGACGGAGCTGCACACGTCCATATGATTATTAATCTTGATTTCCCTCACTAATAAGTGTTGCTGTCCCTGAATGCATTACTCTCATCACCCAGGACTAGATAACACATCATCCGTCCACACTCTACATGAGGTAAAAATGATTGCCTTCAAGATATGTATAATAAAAAAATTCCAAAACATATTCGTGTTATATAAATAGGTTAATTATGGCCACATATCTTCAGATACATTACAAAAGTGAGTGGTTTTAGCGTCGGAAGACAAAGGCCATCGGTGGCAAGTTATTTCTGAAAGATAGGTCGAATGACAATAAAGACTCACTGATATGTTCATCGGTATCTAGTCTATCAATTGATTTTAACCTTTAAGGTAATGCCTAACATTTTTGACAATTAACATCATGTACTCAGTGACATATTCTTGTGGGTATATAAATTTGTTGCGTGAATATAGTTTTTCTTACTATATTCACGGTGTTCTCAATTAAGTAGCAACGGGAAAAATCATATGGTGGTTTTATAGCGTTGTTGCCAGACCGATGATATTTGTGATCACCATGGCGAGACAAGCGCGTGCAACTGCCTATCACGAAATAACTTCGTTTCCTGAAATAAGTTAGTTCGATATTGTTTTTCGTGGAAATTTTCTATTTGTTGGTCGGCGAATAAACATGGGATATAAGATAAAATTTTCGTTATTTTTCGGATTCTAGTTGAATGTATCTTAATCTTAGTAGTACAGTATAATGCATCCTGTTCTAAGAGAAGACATGGAAAATCACCAAAATACAAATGAAGAGTTTGGAAGATAACCTCCTGCGCTAACAGATACATCTCGATTGTCATTCAAACATGCTGGTTAAACTCTCAGGTCCGTTTGAGTTATTTTTCAATATTCATGCAGAAGTATTTCTTCGCATTAGGAATCCCAGGACAACTAACGACACCATTCGGGCTAAAAATCGTATAAAGAAGTGATCTTGTTCCTTTTCAATATGGCTGTTCCCATCATTTTCATTCGCGCATGATAGTTTCTAAATCGATCAGTATCTCATCAAAACTTTGTATTTCTCTTGCAGTTGCAAGTGTGCTGCAAACCAATAGTAATTTTTAGTTGGTCAACTATGTGACAGTATGTATGTGGACAATATTATGGAGCGGTATAACATTTCCATTTTAAAGCTAGACGATGTAAATATTGTATTCACACAAAGCCTTCAGTAATATTTATTCCAAGTATTTTTATGATAGTTACACATCACTTCACTCATCGATTCCTTACACGATTATTAAGTCCTAAAAGTCTTCTCCTTATACAAATGTATCTGGTTGTAATGTTATTATGTAATATACTTGGAAAATTTATATTTAAATGCTCGACCCCCAACAAACATTTTCCCAGAGTGCAAATTCTAACGACAAAAGACAAATAATATTAAACGTTAATTCATTAAGAAATGCTTGCAAAAACAACATTTTCAGTATCTCAAAGTTTAGGATAGTTTGCCAAAAATAATTAAAATCCATGTGAGTTGATTCTCGAACTCCTAGAATGTATCTACTAATCCCTACGAAGGAAGAATCAACAGCAAAGCAAAAGTAAAGTAACTGTTCAGCTCGGAGAACACAACCACATTAAAAAGTAAATACATTACCAGTATATCGAATCTTAAAAGGCTTGGAGCATATACTAAGTACCCACCAATAATTTGAGCTAGTGATTAGTTATTCCAATATGCCTTTATTGATCTTAGAATTTATTAAACTTTAGTGCCAAGATGATGAACGACATACACGAAAAATTCTTATCTAGAAACTCTAGTCGAATCAGATATCTACTAATCAAAATTTTACCAACATTAACGAACTCTGCCCAAACAGGACTTTCCATTCTATATTAACTCCAAGTGACAATTTGGTTAACTGTTATTGGAAAGCAATAAAAACGATTTGAAGTTGACGTGGCCTAATAATTTTTTTCCGCCGAGAAAAAACACTTTCGAAATGATAATGTTTTCAAGTATTGGTTTTGTAACCAGAAGGTCCTGGGTTCGAACCCTGGTGGATGCGTACTGATGAAGAGTCCCAAACTAGGAAGAAACAGCTGTCCAGTACTCCCAGGTTTTCCAGTGGTTCTCTAACTGATGTCAGCTCATGATGAAATCCTCCATACAATCAAAATGATAATAGTCGATGTATTTTCAAATGTAAGTAATTTTCATAAAATTAAACGTATAAATGATTGAGTTCACAGTCTAAATGCAAAACAGTAAAGTAGCAAATAATATATATATATATATATATAGGCAGTATAAATTATTCGATTCCAATGAAGATGAATAAAAGCGAAAATGAAAAGTATTGGTTAAAAAAAATATATAGTTAGCATAGAAAGTTAGTTGATAATTGAGATTCCACTGGAGATATTTTGAAAAATGCCAAAAATGTATACAACAACTATGCAATACTAATTCGTTAACTGGATAACATTTAAACAAAATAAGAGAAAATATAAAATGGAATATAATACATTATGTATATTATAAGTAATCAGTATAATATGAATTGACAAACAGATTTCGCTTCAATAAGTATGCATTGACCAGGTAATACAACAGAGGTAGTACGTCCTGTCTATAATAAATGGCTTGTTTAACCAAAATCAATTATGCACTACATTAACGAAATAGAATGTTTTAAATGACCTAACAAAGAGTCAGACATATATTGAGATGAATAGTTTTCATAAGCAGTAAAGTTGTTAATATACTCCTAATGTTTTCATTATAATTATCTGTTCTTCGAATAATATGCAAAAATTGTGAAGATAACAAGTAAAGCACACAGAAAAAAAGTTTTTATGCAGAAATCAATTTGAAAGAAAATTACAACTAAGCAAAGCTTATGACTGAAAAAAGTTGGAGCTAAAAACCAAAAGCTATGGGCTGTTTGTGTATATACGTAGGAAAGAGAAGCACTCTGAAGAGACAAAAACAGAGGAAACGACTTCGAAATTATTTAGAAAATGACCAGATGCTTTTCATATTTTGATAGCTAATAAAACCAATGATGATCAGCAGGTTTTGTGGTTTATAGAGGAAGTTTTGATAGTCGACGGTCTGCTGGGGCGTAAACTAAATAAATGAAAACATAAATTGGGATATATTACAACTCAACCGCTAATCATAGTAGAGGATAATTTACTTTTAAAATAATTTAAAGGAAATTCATGTAACATTATCACTTAACTGATGAGCAAAACACTTATCTACTACATTATTCTTCAATTTCCATAAAACAAATTGACTGGTTATCCTGTAGTGTTTTGAAAAAAGTGTCTCTAAAATGCACTTGAATGGTCATTACGCTATAAAACCAAAACAACGACAAAATACTTGGCAGAATTGTCAAATAAAGGTAAAGGAGTTGTACTTTCTGTAGAATACCAAATTATTTCATTGATAAGACATAACTGAACTTGTGATTTAATAGAACACGAAACAGGGAGGATTCTATTTTTAGAAAAAACATTTCTAAAAAATCCAAAGCAACCAATCGTAAACTCAACTACAGAATTCCTTTATATTATCCACTAAAAACGCCAGAACCCCATGAATCATAACATCAGATAAACACTCCATATATGATAAAAATACTTAACGAAAACCGTTATAAAAGATGTTGGATTTCAACAAGACAGTTCAAATTCTCACGAAGGTAGGTTTTATTAGAAGATTGCAAAAGAAATATATTCAGGGAGAAGCACATATTGGACTAATGCAAATAATAAACACCTCGTAGATGCAGGATGGTTCAATGACATCTCTAACACTTTTACAATATTAAACGTGCATAAAATACTCAGATTAATACACTCCATGTGAAATATTATTTCGAAATTTCTTCAACTTTAAAATATAATCGGTTCTCCACTCGCTTATTAACTTTGCACAGATTTTGCCTGGAATGAAATGGATAGTTCTTTGTTTAACTTGGCTGCTGATTTCAGCCAACGGAGTTGATTTTAACCTTGCTAACTCCAGTTTTTGCGTACACAAAGCAATGGCCTATTTTATTATTACTAATTCCTTCCTTTCACTTGCTATCGCCTTCTTTACAATTATTAGACATAGCATTAAAAATGGATAATGGTACGGCATAGAGAATTTATACTTTTGTCTCCTTAATTTAAAACACTTTCTGCATTATCACTTTAACATTTATAGCACATTATTTTTTGTTCTTATATAAAAATTTTGATTTCAATCGATCTGCAGCATATAAGAACCAACCCACGAAAAAGAATTATAACATTTAATACTGAGAATTTGATCAATGTATGCATAACAGATAAATAACGAACCCAACCAATTCACTCTTGTAAAAGATTAGCCCAGAAAATGTCAGCCATATCAAGGATTCCAACAGTGTTCAAAGAGTTTTAGAAATCCAAGTAACGACACATACACTGAAGTGAGAATACACTGATCCAGTTCTTTGTGAAAAAAAAGTTCATTGTAACCATTTTAATCAATAGTATTCTAATATATTTCACATGATCATTAAATCCATCACATAGGTCTTAATAATACATATATTAAGCTAATAGGCAGCAACTTATCTTAGAACCTTTTCCAATCCTTATGAAACGCTATCATAAATCCATATTGTTTAATACGTGATCCCTTTAATGATAAGAATTAGATGCTTGAGTGCAACAGCGATTTAACCTTTGGTTTAACCAATGGTGTAAAACGCTTTGGTACTCACAATAACAAAAGTATCACGTTTTCGATTTACAGCGGCAAATGCAACAGGGAAAAGAATTTCGTAGACAATAACAAGAAGATAAAATTCTAATGAAATTATGAATAAATAACAGTAGGAAAGAAAGATATCTTACCATTTAATATGTAATCAGTAAGCATAGGTGTTAGATTTGGATTATTTGTAAGAATAGCCAAAAGCATGTCGTTGAATAGTTCCAATTGATTGACAGTAGGTCCTTCGTTATAGGGAGATCGATGATAGGGAACCGATGTAGTTAAATACTACGGAAATGAATAGGAGTTAATGAATAATACAGAATATTTGCAAATAAAACGAAGAGGACACTTGTTTAGTATTTTTAAGCTTTGATTATCATCAAGCTACATGAATTCAACCAAAACGAATTTATTTAGTATAGTAGTAATGGAACGTTCAAGGTTAAATAGCGAAGCGCAAAATACGTCAAACTGTTATTAAAGAAAACACAGGTGTTATACATCTAGGTTAGAAAAAGCAACTACCAAACATTAAAAATTAGACAGTGTTTTTGGAAAATAGTCCTGTTGTTTTTAAATTAACGTATTCTTAAAGTAGCTGCAGAAATATTACGGCCCGCAGTGTACAAGTCAACACTACTGAGTGTAGCAATAACAGATACACTTCTGCACATTCTGCTCAGCTAATAGCAAAAGGAACAAAGCAACTGGATTAGTGATTCACTTCAATCAAGCAGAATTAATAAGGTTACAGCTCAATCATTTAAACATACAACGCATTTTTAAGCATATTAAGAATGTAAGAAAAAGCAGTGAGAAAAACAGCTTTTGTTGGAGCAGAAAAGACCCAGTAATGCACGATAAGGTGGAAAAACATCCAACATAAGGACCTCAAACTTGAAACGTTATCTGCAAATTCCAGGTATTCTTAGACTACGTGGTTCAAACGAATAATCAAGTACTCATTCAGTGCAAGCCACTTTTAAAGAACGTTGATAAATTACAAAATAAAATCATTCGGCTTCTATACAACTTGAATTCTTCTTATCACTTAATTATAACAATTATAGTTTAGATTTTGTTAAGGTGTCAATAGCTAGAATCCTATTGCGCTCCTCGTAACAAATTCAAATAGAGTAAAACCGGACACATTAATGCAACCAATTAAACCATTGTTTCGTTGCCTTTTCTTCCACTATATACATACTACTACTGTTGAAATATTACCAAACTGTAAATATACGGTTAGAATTTGTGATTAAGACCACAGCCACAAAAGGACGATTAGTTGCCTGTATAAAACTGGTTCTTTTAAAAAGTGAATATATAGACGTCAAACATCACTTTGGAATACATTTATCAATCACCATATGCACATTATAAAGCATATCAACGTCTCAAGGTGTATAAAGAACATATTTTAGAATTCTAAGTCCGACCTGATAAAAAGTCACTACGAGGTCATTCAAGTTCTTTTCCCCTGATTGGCGGGAGGAATGACATGACTCTTTGTTCTCCCTTATTATAGTACAAACTTTAAGATTTACAGAACGAGGCGTATTCATAATTTTTAGCAGCATTCTTTTAAGACGCCAGTAAGATAGTAAACGTATTTTACAATGTGGTGAATATTAATATATGTATCAGGAAATGCGGTACCACTGAAGTAGTTGGGAATTGTGGAGTGATGCAGATTCATAGGAGGCGACGAAAACTGAAATAAACATTTTAAATCAATGACTGCAGAGATAGAAATGTTTATTCCTCATGTCTGGATTTAGTTTCCCTTGTAGACGTGAAATAATCTCATTGGACACATTGGGACAATTGCCGACTAATCAAAATAATGTATTCCCCTCTGACCTAGCCGAACTATAATGTGACTAAGAATGCATAAATATGTTTTCCTCAATAAACATCCGTTACAAATAAATAATTAGAAGTAGAATTTGCGATGGACGAAAGCACAGCAGCGTAGTTTGTAGCTGTCGCTCTTTTTAAAACTGAAACTATTTTACCTGCTGATTAATGTTTGATGACACTTAACTTTTATAGTCCAATTAAAAGGTAATCAAGATTACACAGTTTCATAAAATTACGTTAATCAAGTGTAAACTAAGCTTTAAAACCATAATGATATCGTAATCAAGATTATAGTAAAAGAAAGGTAAACAGATTCATTTAATAGTTGTACTACATTTTTCACTAAATTGAGAACAGCTAATTAAAGCATACATCAAAAACTATGTGGAGATTGTGAAAGGGTACTGAGTAAAACGCACAATTTTATTTGAAGAAGTATTACAGAATTTTTTCTACGACTTGTCATACATATTTACCGCAAATTGATTGAGATGGTCCCTAATTCAATAATTCTCCATTAGAAATTTCAAAAGACTGATTACTGAACAAAGAATATTCTTTTCGATAACCTGCTTTTCATCAGGTTCTACAGTTATGTAACCATAATAATGAAAGAATTAGTGATGTTAACAACACTAAGACTAAACCTCGTTAGAGAACAGAACTAACTTTAAAATATATCTCGGTAGATAATAGCTTATACCCTTTCTGTCTGAGGGTCAGATCTTAAGTGACAGTGCTTAAGAAGTGGAGATCAATAACTGAAGTACCAGTGCGATAATATATTACACGTAAGTGATGGGCAGTGGATAATATTAGTTCTAACTCCTGACTGTAAGTAACTCTGTGGTCACTGAAAAATCTTACAAGTATTATCCAGTATTTATACTTAAACGAACAGCAGTCAATTAATCAACAAATGGTGACAGACAAATTAATAATCGTCAGAACTTTCACTCACTGGCTTTTATAAAAATATATTCAATTTAAAAGAAAGAAAAAACTAACACTTAAATTCACGCGTTGGTATGGAAGCGATAAAAGGATTTAACAATTAACGAGGATAATTTCCCGTGTTGTCATACAATAGGATAAAACAGTATACTTTGTCAATGCAGTTGTTTCTCAGGTGCAAAGTATGAGAAATTTTCATTGATCCCTAAAGTATTAATTAACACAAGCAATTAGTTTATGGATGTCTACACTATTCAGACCATCAGCACTTATCTACGTGAAATGCTAACAGTAAAAAACAAACCATTCTTTATGAACTATACAAAATTTCTAGAACTCTCCCAATTTGTCCTACTTATTAAGAAGCAAAGGCTAAGTAATCAAATTTCAACAGCTCCAGTAGTTCACTAGAAACTAAAACATGATGTAAAGTATCATACCATTTATTTCGACAAGTAAACGAATTTCCCTTGGAAGTTACCAGGAGAATATGAATGCTTTTTTACTACACTTTACATACTAATTTAAAAATAACAAGATACCTTGTATTCCAGGTCATCTGAACCTGTTTCATGTCGTCCGATCAAATGACCGGAAGCAGAATGTGTTAAATTCGTAGGTATTGTAAGAAAATCGCAATGTGATGATGTGGGGCTTGTAACAGCAGAACGAGCTTCTCGGCTACGTAGAAAAATATTTGTTGCTGTTGCCTTCCGTTGACGTCCACGGCGGAGAAAAGCCCTGAAACTATTAGTCTGTCCCATTTCTGATGATCCTTCTAATTTTCTGCTAGCCCATTTTCGAAGACGAGAAATAGCAATGGCTCGAGCTGACGTAGTTGTTGAATATGAAGTTCGGTTGTCTTTATCTGCCAGAATGGATGGTGTGTGGATGAGACCACGTGTATCCTGTTGTTTGGCCACTGTAGCTGCGACATCTTTTGAAAACGTACTCAATCTTTGAAAATGTCTTTTCAGGGCTACTGTAGCACATGATGTTGCAGCAACCGCTGCCTGAGCTGCAGATTGTGCACCTATTAGTAAGTATCATATAGTAAAATATTAAATATGCAACATGACTTAATGTACAAAACTTTTCCGTTCGGTGTGTATAAATCTACATCTTTAAACTTCAGATCGTATAAAAATTTGCTATTAACTTACACTTTATCAAGAATAGGATTTCTACAAAGGAAATGAATTGCAAATTTTAGAAATCAACTTCCGCTCGTTCTTTTAAAAACCTGATACAATTTTAATTGTGAAAATAAAGGTAATATGCTGTTTTACTACCAGCGTAAATAAAACACAAAATAAGTGCTTGGGAGATATGTATCTTCTTTACAATGCGACAGGTGGGTAAGAAACACGGACCTCGTGCATATTTGGGGATAACAGAATTCATAGTTGATAGTCCCAATTATATTTAGTGCACCGCGCAATCACTGAGACCATTATTGATTAATGGTGTGGTTTACCAAAAAAGCAGTAGTTATAACCAAGTATATTGGCAGTTTATAAAATCCAAAAAACGTATTTAAGTATCTTAAAAAATTTGATTACGCGATGTATCCGTACGATTTCGACATATATAAGACAATCACTTCCAAAAATTTCCGTTTTTATTAAATGAGAAGTGTATCCTAACGATGACATGCTCAGGTGAGTTTGCAACGCACAACTTTGCACAAATGTGTAGCAATTTAAATTGTCAGACTCCATATTTCACAAAAAGATAGGGAAAAAAATTCAAAGCAGGTATGACGAACGGAGATGCATCAGAGAAGGAATAAGTATATAGAGAATAATGAGCATTCGGTGGGTCACTTAGTCAGCTAGAGAGTAACTGCATCTGAGCCATTTGGTATGATTTTAAGGCATGCCATCAAGTCTCCAACCATTGATTTCTAGCGCCACGAGAATCCGAACCAGGCAATCTAGATCTCTCTACATGGTTGAGTGTCACAATCGTTTTATAGGGCAAATCCATCTTACAATTAAAATGCCACGGTTCACTATTAATAGCATAATGAATGACTAAGTACTGTTGTTTTGTAATAGAATACAGTAACTAAACAACAGTTTCAGATGACTGGATAGAAATAACAGACAACAAATACAAGTGAAGATTGTCCAAAAGCAAAGATCAAAATGAAGTACAACATACGCAAAATAAACTGTGCAGTTTCCTTCTGAACAGCCCCCGATGATAATGCTTTGCTTCCAGATTCAGCATTCTGACCAACGCCTGAACATTGCTCACCATAATCTTTCATCATTATAGAATTTGACAGCATTTGCAAATGACTATCAGGTGGAACACTTAAACGACGCTTACGCTCGAGACGTCGATGTAATTCATTTAGGCGTGCAATAAATATGTCTTTCTGCTCTTGTTCGAAATCTAGTTCCTCTCGATATGCCAGCTCCTGAACAAGAATTGCAGAATATTCCCGTACGCATGATTCTAGCTCTTCCAAAACTGCATTAAGCTCATTGAGGGAAAGATCTTGAAGGGCTTGAAAAAAGTGGAAAAGAAATTAAAACTCACTTCCATTTCAAAGTTAATTTTAAAGATAAGTTTTTAACAAGACAGTAATGTTCTACAGCCACAGTATGGCATATGGAGATACAAAACTCCATACAGCGGGGCAACTTAAAATAATTAGAAGAAATGGTACTATTAACCACTTTCGTGAGCCGCTGGCAGAGCGGTAAAATGCTCGCCAACCACACAGGCGGTTCGGGGTTCGATCCCCAGCCAACGCACTCCTTTACCTCGCTAAGCCAGCAATAAGTCTGGTAAGGAGGGAAGGTTGGGCATGAGGCTAGCAACTCCATCCCGTAAAAGTAAACATCACTTCTACCGAAGCTTCAGAGCTCTAGCTTGAAGTTCTATGTTCCGCTGGGAACGTAAAGGAATAAAAAACCATTTTCGTGATAAATGTTTGTAAGCAAATATTACGACTAATAGTATAGTGAAGAACCATAATATAACATTGTATTATGGAGAATCATTTGTTACTGTAGAATATTAGCCTTTGCTTTAACTTAATGTTTATACCAAAGCACATATAATTGAGCAGCAACTCAAGCAGAACCTACTGACGTAAATAACCCATGTTTTCTAAATCACGTTAAGTTACGACTATACTTGTGGTAAAAGATAATGGGAATAGTGACTCTATCGTTAACAAATGGTTCACATGTTTCACCCGTACTTCTACAAAGGTTTAAGCAACTAAATAACATCATTTACTCACGCCCACTAACACACGTGATTATTGAGTAACATGTCTGTTGCTGAGCAACTAAACCAAGTTTAACTTAGTGACATAATTGAAAGGATTATTTAAAGTCATGCTACATTTAGTCATATCTTCCATACACACATGGCAATTTCATGCCATTAAAAACACAAGACTTCAATAAGAATGGGATTTACTAGCCAAGTCAAAAGGTACTCTGAGGTGATGCCACACGTGCTAGTGGTTTTAGATCAACTTCTTTACAGTCATAGGATAATTACCTTTATTAAAAACGCCTATACCTTGAAGACTCGCACATAATAATGCGATTTGCATACCTAGCTGCAGCAACAAAAAACTGTACAACACAATGGCTGAAGTAAAACGGCATTTCGTAGACTGTAACAGACAAACTACCTCCCACAACTACTTACTTTTAAACTATCCCTGCAGTGTGTTTGGTCAGAAAAACAAAGTGTCAAGATGCATTGTAACATTTTCGCATTACGAATAAACTAAAGAGTGAACACAGCTACAGGACTGGACTACGTCAACTCCCAGCTTAGTGATAGGGAGTGAAGTGACAGAACATGTTGACCACTTCACCTATTTAGGATGTTGTATCAGCACCAACGGATTGATTGGTGACGAAATCACAGCACGGATCCAGAAAGCTCGGGCTGCCTCCGCTAACTTACACCGTCTCTGGCGTAGGCGTGACATCCGGCTGTCAACCAAGGGACGTGTATACTGCTCATCAGTTCGCTCCGTCCTTCCCTATGGCGGTGAGACGTGGCCACTGAGAGCGGAAGACATGAAGAAATTGTCTGTTTTTGACCACAGATGTTTACGATCTCTTTCGCGCGTTAGGTGGTATAATAAGGTAAGTAATGTTGACGTTAGGCGTAGAGTGTTGGGCAAAGAGGGAAAATCACTCGAAGAGGCTATATAGTTACATAGATTGAGATGGTTAGGTCACGTGCTGCGCATGCCTAGCCATCGTCTCCCCCGACGGGCATTACTAGCTGATATAGGTGCAGGTTGGAAAAGAGTAAGTGGTGGCCAAACAAAAAAAATGGCATCAATCCATGAAATTCCTGACAGTTAAACTGAGTCAGTCAGGTAGGGAGATGCAGACTTCCGGGTTGGGGCCCTCGGGACTCTAAGAATCAATGGCTGGGGACAATAGGTGACATGGCTCAAAATCGTTGTCAGTGGCGCAGATGTATTCAGTCTCTGTAATCTTTCATATTCCTTTCTACCATTACTCATTCTGTTTCAGTCTTATACTTATCTAAATTCTATTGATTCTCTTCTCTCATTTTCTTGTCTACCTTTGTGTGCTATTTGGAACGTGGCAACTCGAACTGCTGCACTTCGGTGCCAAGTTCTATGTTGAATCCAGCAGCAGCAGCAACAGCTATACGCTTCAAAATTACGGTTTCTAGTAATTATAAAAAACTAATAATCCTCTCGAGATCAGAAGGTGAACTTAATTTTCAATATACAACTTTGCCCAACAGTGCAGCAGTTCACGTTGCCACACTTCATAAAAGGCACATAAAAGGTAGGGGAAAATAGAAAATCGGGAAATCATAAATAGGAATATACGGGAGAAAGAGCAGTGAACAGATCTGGAAAGTCACAGGGTAAATGAGCCTTCGCCACTGAGAACAATTTCAAGTCATGTCATCACGTTTCTAGTCTTGATTCTTAGCATCCCGAAGACCCTAAATAGGCAGTCCATACCCTTCTACGTGGGTCAAACCAACTATGGCTGGCTGGATTCAACATAGAACTTGGCACCGAAGTGCAGCAGTTCGAGTTGCCACGTTCCAAATAGCACACAAAGGTAGACAAGAAAATGAGAGAAGAGAATCAATAGAATTTAGATAAGTATAAGACTGAAACAGAATGAGTAATGGTAGAAAGGAATATGAAAGATTACAGAGACTGAATACATCTGCGCCACTGACAACGATTTTGAGCCATGTCACCTATTGTCCCCAGCCATTGATTCTTAGAGTCCCGAGGGCCCCAACCCGGAAGTCTGCATCTCCCTACCTGACTGACTCAGTTTAACTGTCAGGAATTTCATGGATTGATGCCATTTTTTTTGTTTGGCCACCACTTACTCTTTTCCAACCTGCACCTATATCAGCTAGTAGTGCTCGTCGGGGGAGACGATGGCTAGGCATGCGCAGCACGTGACCTAACCATCTCAATCTATGTAACTATATAGCCTCTTCGAGTGATTTTCCCTCTTTGCCCAACACTCTACGCCTAACGTCAACATTACTTACCTTATTATACCACCTAACGCGAGAAAGAGATCGTAAACATCTGTCTTCCGCTCTCAATGGCCACGTCTCACCGCCATAGAGAAGGACGGATCGAACTGATGAGCAGTACACATGTCCCTTGGTTGACAGCCGGATGTCACGCCTACGCCAGAGACGACAACTATAAATGACTTCATGGGCTGATGCCAAGTTTTGGTTCGACCAACCCTAAGAGGAGTGTATCAGCTGCATACCCTAAATCGACAAGGCTGTACCCTGGTAACAAGTCGACCTGTAGGTCGCTAAAGCTGCTCAGGGCCACGACTACTAAATACAAATGAAGAAATCACGTAAAATCCTACATTACATACTATTAACGTACTATTAATATTAGTGAGGAAATGTAAGTCTAACCTTCTTCGTGCAGCCAGCTGCTCCGGATATTTTCTGATACAAACGGTTGTTCACATTCTGACTGAACCATACTGCACAATGACAGTGGGATATCTTCATTATTCTACAGAGGTTTGTAATATGCACATTTAAACCTACCATTAGTATGTCGATCTCCTTAATAATTTCATCGGCAGTTTGAACGATATCATCATATGAGTCAGGCAGCTGAGATGTTACCAACGAATGATGGTCAAATGCATAACTTATATCTTCATCTTCAAGTACATCTAGGTTGTAATTTTCGGTAGAATGCTAAAAAACAGTTGACTTATTGTGGAGCTTACTTTCCGGCCTTTTATATCTAAAGCCTCCATGAACGCTTCATATAAACTACTGTGGAACCAGTGTATTGGTGGAAATGTGTAAGTATTCAGTAATGACTCCAGACATTGTTTGCTGAATCTTAAATGCTAAACAATTGAAAAACTTACCAGTTAAAATTTTGTAGTCCGTCTGTAAGTCTTACTTGATCATCCACATTTTCGAGACATTCTTCAAAAGTGAAACACCTCGTAACTTCCTCATAAAACGCACTAGTTAAACTTTGATTCATGCTGCAATTTTTCATCTTTATTGCATAAAGTCATGCGAATGGTAACTGTAGCACTCAGCCTTAATGTCACTCAACAGTTCAAATCTTTGAGTTAACATAAATCCCTGGAAAGAAAGAAAAATGGGACGTTGTGAGATCCAGCTACTCAGAAAATTACTTAAGACTACACGTCTCAGTAAGGTCATTTAAAACCCTTAAACAGAAGTAAATCAGTAGCTTTAACTAGGGAAAGCCTCACAAAAAGCCTTTTGTATATATATGCCTACATCTTTTGAAAATACACTTCAGTAATTCGATCCCACCAAAAACAAATGCTTACATTTTTATTATTTTTTTTATATTTTTGATTACAGCTCGATGCCACACCGTATTTTCAGTACAAGTATGGAATTTTCAGCATGGATATCGGTAGCCCAAATTTATCAGGCCGACCACCGATAACAGGTGTGCGTCGGCCGGGGTTCGAACCCCTACCGACGCACGCCCGATATCTATGGTCGGCCTGATAAATTTGGGCTACCGATATTCCATGCTGAAAATTCTATACCTTTACCGAAATACTGTGTGGAATCAAGCTGTAATCAAATAATAAAAATAAATAATAAATAAACCTTATTCAGGAGAAGCTAACTATCACGTATTGTTTTTCACAAACTGTATTCCCATATCATTACGAGATAGAAGTCAGTCAACGCCGAAATGTTTCTTGCCAAATCTCAGTGTGAATTCACAATTAAGGTAACCAAACAGACCCATACCAGTTGGGCGGTAGATAGACGGAATCCTTGAAATTTTATTGAAACACAGGCGTCATGTTACAGAAGAGTAAGTTAACTAAGAATAAGTAGGACGCAAGATTACGGCGAAGATTTCACGGATTAGTAGCTAAAAAGAGACGGACTCAATCTGTTAAAAAAAGTTGGGGAGGAGGTGAGATATAACTATAAATTTGCAACGATAATTACCGTCTCCGAAATTAATTTACGAGTCATTTGCAAAGGGGTCCTACATAAAACACTGAGAGGACAAATAGCACAGGGTGGCCAAACAATAGCAGCCAAAAACGAAACTATCTAGGTAGTTCATTAGCTAATGAATGGATTGATGACCTTGACGAAGTCAGTTTAGTGTCACCTGGATCAGAACTGAAATTTGCCTTTCTGTCAATTTAGTGTATATAGCTTAGTTTGATCCAAATGAATCATTTTGTCCCCTACATTGCATATGAACAAACACAAATAGCAACTTATTAATATTTTCCGCTGTTATTCAACATACAATAATTCATGGCAGTAAGTCAAGTTAATTCCATTGTGGTCACCTCTTGACTTTTTAAGGTAAACCTTGCTGATCTTCAGTAAACTTCAACATAGTATGTCCCTCCGTTTGAATATCGAAGATTTGGTTGACTCCATGGGGAGTGGTGAGGGGAGTGGTTCACAGTGTGTTTCGTAGTATACGTTCCAATATCTAATATCGTTTTCACGAGCTAGTATAAACCAATTTGATTTCTCTGTGCTCGCCTCTTGATTGTGAGGTATAGGTTCCTGATCTTTGGTAAACGTCTGCGTAGCTCGTCCCACCACTCGACTGTCGTAGCTTTCGTTGACTCCAAAAGGAGTAGTACAGGGATTAATTATATGTGGTTTGTAGAATGAGGTGTGTTAAGACTGTTACTACTGTGAATAGAGTTGATCCTTTCACCAGTTGGTCCTTCCGTATCGTCATCAATGGAAAAGAGATAATAATAATAGATATAATTGGTGAAGTTATTCAGACTAACAGACAGAAAAAGTATAAGAAAACGTAACAACAGTCAGTCAACCGGTATATATATATATATACCGGTAATAATAATAATAATAGGTGTAGTTAAAGCTGTCAGGAGAGCAAGACGGAAGAGAATGTAAAGAAGTAAAACGACAAGTTTAATTGTCTACCATTGAATGGTGTATGTGATTTTAAGAGGATAGGCCATTTGGATGCAGTCCTTGTGTCGCTGCATGGTTGTCCAGCCTTCGATTAAAGGCGTCCACAGATGGTGCCATAGCTACATCTGCCGGTAAGGAATTCCAGGGACGGCAAACCCGCAGGGAAAAGAAGTGGGAGCGCACCCGGGTCCTTGCCCTCTGATGAGCTATCCTTCTAGGATTTCCACGAGGGAGCCTATACCTACTCAATGGCAGAACACCTTTGTTTGGGTGATTCTGATCATTTGTTATTTTGTAGGATGTAATTAAATCCCCCAAAGACGACGGTAACTAAGTGTGAATAGGCCTAATTTCTTCAGTCTTTCATCATATGGTTTATTTCGGAGACCAACCACTCCTTTTGTTGCCCGTCGTTGGACTCTTTCCAAGAGGTTGGCGTCTCTTCTAAGCAGTGCGGGCGCACTGATATAATTCACTTCAAGGTGTGGTCTGACGTATGTTTTGTACAACCTTAGAAAGAGCTCAGGAGTAAGTGCAGTTAACTATCTATGTGTAAAGTGTATGACCGCATATGCCCTTGCTACGCCCTCCGTGTAATTTACGCTTGTGTCCATTTTCTCCGTTAGAACTAGACCTAAGTCGCGTTCCGACGTTGTTCAGGACAAGCTTTCATTGCACAGGGTGTAACTTGCGTTCTGCAGTCTACAGGTGCGTAGCTTCACTACTTTGCACTTTTTCAGGTTGAAAGTCATGCCACTGGCCACCGCTCAGTCTTCCAGAAGATGGAGACCTTCCTGTAGCCTATCTGAGTCCTCCGGACACTTTATCGCCCTCCATTTCTTCACGTCGTCAGCGTACAGAAGAGTCTGGCAGCAGAGACGGCATAGTAGATCATTGATAAAGAGCAAGAACATCAGTGGTCCCAGGATAGAACCCTGCGACACTCCTGATGACGAGTTGTGCCAAGATGATCGGACTCGATAGACCTTAGTGCAAAATTGCCTTTAAGCTAGGTAGTCCTTCAACCATGACAGAAGTGGTTTACCTATACCTAGCTGGCTTATTTTGTGTAGGAGAAGGTCATGGTGATTGGTGTCAAATGCATGCTCAAAGTCTAGAAAGATCACATGGACTGGAACATTCATATCCCAGCATGATGTCCACTCGTCCCAAGCTGATAATAAGTTAGTGACGCAGGATCTCCCTTTCCTGAAACCGTGTTGGGCTTCATGCAGTATTTTAGACCTATCGAGATATTCCCTGATGTGATCATCAATAATACTTCCCAGTACTTTTGATACCACTGGGAGTAGAGCTACTGGTCTATAACTAGTGGGATTTTGCCTATCCCCACCCTTGAAGATCGGAGAAAGGATGCTTCTTTTCCATTCCTTTGGCAGTTTCCCCAATTCCATGGAGTGTTGGAACAAGTCGCATAAGGACCTACAGGGAGCTTCGGCGCACTGTTTCGGAACAGTTGGCCTGATGTCGTCACAACCTGGGGACTTCCCAGGTATGCGTCGCTGCAGCTTTCCCAGTACTAGGGTTTATTTCGGGGGTGGCTATTTGGTCTTCCTCCTGTGAAATAGTGATGCCACCATTTTGGTCCGTAACGGTTATACCTACATTGTTGTTTAGCTGTTTGGCGAAGGCTAAACTGAATGTTTCAGCCATCTTCAGACTAGTGAGATATTGACCGTTTTGGCCTACTAAGGTGCATGCCCCCTGGTTGGTTGGTTTTCTTTCCGACATGAAATCGGTACAAGTTCTTGGGGTTTGCTAGGAGGTTTTAGCAAGGTTAGCCTGGAATGATCTTGTGTCCCTCCTGACTCTCGCGTTGCACCAGCTCCTGAGTTCCAGGTATGCACCGTGGTCAATCTGACTCTTAGATACGTGCCACGTAAATCAAGCCTTCCGCTTTGCTTGCAGAATACGCTGCATGCCTCTCTTCAACCATGATGACTTTCTTTTGGGCTGTGTTGTGACTAAAGGGACGGTATCCGAGATTACTGTATGAACAACCTTTTTTACCGCTTCCCAGTGTACATCCACAGACAGCTCATCCCATGCTAAGGGCCAGTCCGCATCGGACAAGAGCCTCCGCATTTCAGCATAGTCGGCCTTGCTGTAACACAGACATGGTTGCTGCAAATGCTCACGGAGAAAGAGGTCGAAACCTATGACTGCATGGTCACTACTTCCTAGAGGAGTCATGACGTGAACTTTTTCGACGAGTTGTTGGACACTAGCTAGAATGTAGTCTAGTTTTGATGACTTTCCACTAGGGCCCCACCTAGTGTCGTCCCCAACGTTCTCAGTCAGTCCCGTGTTTCCAATAGTTAACAGTAGATTTCGGCCAAATTTTCCCTTAGCATACCCCGAGCCAAGGTTCAGTGATGGGGCATTGAAATCTTGAGCTATGGTGATTTGGTCATAGCCCAAGTCTCGTATCCCTGTGATAGTGCTGAGCAGTAGCTGATTGTGCTCTGCCCCACAGGTGGGAGATTGGTAGATGCCACCAAGTAAGTGCTTGGTGTGGCCTACGGTGAAATGACACCATATGGAAACTGGGAGTTCAATAAGTGGTGGGTCCGTTGCGCGCACACATTTACGTTGCCCGTCAAAGTATGTAGCAACTCCCCCTCCTTCCTTATTATCCCTGTCCCTCCTGACCAGAACCATATCACCTATACTGATTTCACTGTCAGCGATAGTAGGAGTTAGCCATGTTTCGGTGAGAATGATCATTTTAAGTTGTAGGTGTGCTTGGAGATTTCAGAGTTCACCTAATTTTCCTCTCAGCCCCCTCACACTGCTATACAGACAGCTGACAGTGAGTCTTACAAACTCAGCGTGTTGTGGGGTGGTTGACATGAAGCTGTCTGCTGGTAGGGGACTTAATGCTGGGACTAGTTGACCAGCTCCGTTGGAACCGGCCCGTTGTGGTTTTTCCATGGATTTAAGCAGGACACTTGGGTGACACAGACTGTTATTCTCAGAACTGCATCGCTCTAGTGCCACTGAAGCTTGGGGACGTATTAAAGCCTCAGTTTGCTGCCTCCTTATGGTTCGAGGTCTGCTTTCGCAGCATCGGATGTGTCCTCCCAATTTCCTCTTGGTCTCATACCACCGTTGAAGTGCCATGGCCAACTGCTCTGGGTAGTTGAATGTGACACTAAGCAGCTTTGGGGAGCTAATCAGTGTGAGATGAGCGGGCGAGGTAGTCGGGAAATAGAGATGACTCTAGAAGCGCCATCTGAGATGACAGCCATCTCCACTGCTGTACGTCAAGCATGTGTTTTTCACAAGCGGTGCCCGTTTCCAGCTCCGGAACACCATGTACCACCATTGAGGTAGAAGGCATCAGTTCCGGTGACTCCCTCGCCATTTGTCTGATAGCCCATGGTCTGTCTTGTCTCACCCTTATGTTTGAGCTCCTGTCGATGGCTAGTACCTGGGCCATCAATAGTACCTTTTCAGCCTCTTCGGCGGAGTCCAGTGTAACCCGTAATGACGGTGGCTTACCCTGAGGCATGTGGA